GCTTTGACACTACGACCCACAAGTCACGCAAAGCCGGGCGTGTTGGGATTGAGGACTGGCCCCACAGGTCAACACGAGTCTTCCAATGCGCTTTGTCCTCACTCACCCGCACCCTGAGAGACTTCTCAGGGGGTCACTATTCCTCAAATTACTCTAGAGCAAACACGCTTAACTCTAAAGATCTTTCAGTAGAGCTTTCAAAAATGAATATGCACAATGTTGACATGAGTAGTCTATTCAATCCATTTAACTTCTAATCAACTTCGGATGGCCTAATACCGGCTCATCCACACACGGGAGTTGGCCAAGCAATGACCCAACTCCGGGGGGAGGGTATCACAGCTGCCCTCATTATACTTACAAACAGTCGCATAGTAGTCATACAATCCGCGATACTGTTCTTTTGTGTCCCCTCGGATCAATTGCAAGGCATACTTCTTGGACTGATAAACCTTGTACATACTAGCATCAACACGAACTTTGCGGAAAATTCTTTTCTTGAGTGCATGCAGCGTAATATCAGGATTATCGCTTACGATACTCTTGATTTGTGTGCCCAAATATTTGTAATTCCCTTGCATGTTTTGTGTTTCGTGCAGACACGCTAGTCCCTAAATGCACATACAAACACAAAAATACAATATAAAATTGCACAAATAAAAAATTTACGTATATAAACGCCAACAAGTGTTAGTGCCTTTTAACGTATTGATATGAAATGTAGGCCGATTCATTACACATAAGGGTGGAAATAGGTCAGGTCAAGTCAAGCTTTGGCTAACTAGACCTGACCTATTTTAAAAATATCTGGCCTAAGCATGGCCTGTAAGCCTGAATTTTTTTAAAAAAAAAGCATGAGCTTGGCTTTTTTTAAAAGTCTGGTTTGGCCTACAAGTCTATTTAAAATACTACATAATATTTTTATTTATTTATTTGCAAATTTAGAATTAGAAATTAAAAAATAAAGTACATACAATTATTTAATATATGTAAAAGTTAAAGAATTCTATTTTTTTTAATAGATTTATAATTAAAATTATTTAATAAACAATATTATTATTATATAGAAAGTTATTCTTAATATATAATAATAAAAAATTAAATTTATAAAATAAAATAATAATAAATAGGCCGGCCTGTTTATTAAAATATTTTTTTAAGCCTAAGCTTGTTCTATTTAAATAAAAAGGCTTCTAAAAAAATTTTGACTTGCCTTTTTTAATAAATAGAGCAGGCCAGGCTATGTAGACCAGACCGTAGGCCCCTGACAGGCAGCCTGACCTATTCCCATCCCTAATTACATATGATACATGAATCTTCCCAGCACATCATTTCTTGCAAACCGCGGTTACTTCTGTCCGTTCATTCTTTACGAAAAAAATGTCCCAACCTTTGCTCACCGACCAATCCCTTAATATCTTCTTGTACTTTTCGCAACTTTCAAGTTTTAACCCGAATTTTAAATTAACACAACCTAGATCCCGATCCTTGTCCCATTCATGGTACATGGGGGCCGAAGTAAGGTCTATCCGAGACGGCGTTCTTAGACATCCCTCGTTGTCGTTGTCCGTATCGCTAAACCAGCCCTCAGTCGACAGAGGTGTGGCCGTGAACCCACTCTCCTGGTCATCTTCATCTTCTTCATGTAACCTATGAAGACCTTATTCAAATCCCTTAGAATCACCCTTAACTTCGGGCTGATCATCATTATCCCCATGCAATCGGTGAATCTCTTCTTCAAGTCCCCAAACTCAGACGCATCTTTGGGCTACTCATCATCTTTTTCGCCGGATGTGATGCCATAGCAACATTCGCTATTGTCCCTTGCTGGTGCAGTGAAATTTTCCTCCAACTCATCATCCCTGTCCGATTGGTCTTCCACGGCTGTGCCACTTCCGTCCTCACCATTGAACCTCTCATCCTGCTCACCATCTTCCCCGTCGAATCCCCCATCGTATGCTTCATCCATACCATCATGTTCATCAAAATGCTAACCAAACCCATGTTTTTCCCATTCATTTGTACTTGGTGTAAAGTCGAAAGTATATTCCGCACCCTGCTATTGGGCCCATCTTGTACCCGTAATGTTATCATTATAATCTGTCCACACCGGTTCGTCCACACCAAGATGTCCTAGTTCGTCCCCCCCGCATGAATCTTCATCGTTGTCATCATAATTCCATGTTGGCGGTCCACTACCACGGTCACCATCACCCTCCTCGTCCATTCCGTCATCCCCCTCATCGTAAGAGTTCTCCCATTCAACATTTTCATCGGTATCTTCATCTATTTTCTCGCATTCTTCAAAGCCACCATAATATCGAGCTTCCCCACCATCCATTTCTGAGAACTTGGTGTCTGAGTCTAACTCGTCCACAGCTTCAGCTACTCGTTTACTCTTGGCATTGTACAACTCGTCATTCGGATCAAACCCCCCAATCATATTCACTCGACTCACTCAATCTCTATGCTAGCCAATAAGAGGCACTTCTTTTTCCAATCTTACTTCGCGTCAATCCCTATTGGATGTCTTGATGGACATACCAACATCTTCTACGTAAACATGTATATGTTTCTCCCCATAATACTCGCGAAATATTTCCAAGACATCCTCGTCGGTCTTCATAAGGAAGACAAATTTAGTGCTGAATCCGTAGGGGACCCTTTTTGATGTGTGATACATGCGAACCGCAAGACATTTTCCATGAGCACGCCCATACATATCCAGCAGGGTCCCATAATAAATCATGTCCTTGTCAATGTTTTTAAACAATACTTTTTGACCACCTACATATGGATGGCTTGGGCTTTCCACTTCAAAATATCCACCCACCCACATGTAAATGTCAATGTAGTAGCCTTCGTCCATTGTTTGACAAACAACAAAAACCTGCATATGGGGCAACCAATAATACACTTTAATAATCAACCCATCGAATGTCTGACATAAATAAAATAAACAAAATGAAGCAGAGGTGGTCCATCCCACCATGAAACATTACCCAACATCAACTAGACAAAAACAAAATTTCAGTTAACATAATCAATTAAATTCGTAATTGGACACAGCTAGTTAAAGGGTTTTTCGGGATCACCATAAAATATGTATAAAAAGCAGAACAAATGTACAAGTTGAAACCCCAATTCCACTTCCATGACAAATCGAGGAACTCTTCAACCCGAAATTATCCTAAATCGTACAAAAATAAAAAACGCTGAAATGCCCTAACGCGTGAAACATAAGAAATGTCAAAAAGCCCTACGCGTAGAAAAAGAAGAACAGCTGAAAAGTGATAGCCCTAACTCAGTGACTTACAAGTCATTCCAAATTAGTCGAACTCAGTGACTTACAAGTATTTGGGTTTATTGCTACCCTTTTTGATCGGAGAAGAAGGAATCACAAACAGTGGTTGGCCGCCGGTTTAATTGCCTGAAATTGAGGCGTCACGTTCAAATAAAAGAGAACGCTGCCGTCGGATTGGTGGTTGGACTTGGAATCGGCTTTCTCGTAGGTGGAAGAACATCGAGTTAAGGATGGTGATGGGGGAAAGGTGTTGGTAGGGAGGGATAAGAAAGAAGTGAGAGAGAGACGTGATGGAGGTGGGTTAAGTGAGTTATTTACATAAATGGTATAACGGTCCATTAAATAACAAATTTAACACCGTGAAGTCAAATTGATCAAAGGAGAGAGTGTGCGATGTTTCTAAAAACAAATGGGACTACTACACAGTTTTTACCACATAAATTTCTAACATATATCTCTCCTCAATTAATCAATATTTTTATTTACATTTAAAGCTTCTCATTTTTTTTTATAAAACTAATTTATATTAATGATATATAAGTATATTTTTTATTTATTTGTATTATATAAAAAAATTATTTTTTTACAAAATGATATCTATATTATATGCTCCATATAAAAGTAATTTATAGTAATGAAATCTATATTATATACTCCATCCGTCCCAAACTCTCATAAAAATCTGTTCCAAAATAAGAGTACAATTTTTTAATTTAGTAATTGTACTTCCTATTTAACATAATAAATACTATTTCAACTAACATATATTACGTAAATACCATTACTTTTATATTGTACAATATTATGGATATTTTTGTCATTTTTATCTAACCAAATATAATACTAATAATAAAAAATTTACGTGCGAACATAAATATTATCCTTTTATGAGAAAGAATAATATATTTTATTGAGATATAACGTAACAAATATTTTTTAATCATTAAATAAAATTTCTCTATCTAAATAACTTATCTATACCAGCCAAATTTTTGTGTTCAAATAAAAGTAGGGTGAGCAAAATATTCGAAATCCTAAAATTCAATCCGAACCAAACCGAAATTTAAAATTTGGTTCGGATTGGATCAGATTGAATTTTTAACAAATTTGGATTTTCGGATCGGAACGGATCGATATACTTAAAATTCGAACCAATCCGAAATCCGAAATATAATATTTTAATATATTTTTATTATATATATTTAATATTTTATTAGAAAATATTATATTTTAATATAAAAAACTCAAATTTATTAATTATATTTTAATATATTTAATTTTTATATATTATATATATATATTTAATATTATAAAATAATAATAAAATATAAAAGAATTTTAAAATTTTAAAAAAAATAATAAAAATATTTAGAATTTCAGATTTTTCGGTTTGATTCGGATTTTTTAGTTCGGATTACGGATTATGGAATTTCGGATTTCGGTTACTTCAATTTGGTTCGAATTGATTTTTTCAAAAATTTTAAATTTTCGAATCGATTCAAATTTGGTTCGAATTTAGCAAAGTCTGAACGAAAAATCGGAATGATCAGCCCTAAATATAAGGCCTCTTAGGAGTATTTTTCTTGTATTATCACATTATTTTTACTTTAAAAAAAGTAAAAAACAAAATAAAAAAAGAAAGAACTGCAGGAGCAGGAGTACGGTCTGTCTATGCTTCTTCCTGGAAAACGTGATACACGTCATCTCGTTTCAAGCGCAAAGCCATAGTGCAGCAACTCAATAAAAATAAAAGGCAGCTCCGCGAAGAGAATTTGCCAATTCGGTTCTCAAATCCACGGCGACGGTCGGTTGGAATAGTTTCCGAGGGAATTTGCAGCCAAGTATTTGGACTCGAATGGCGCAGTACCAATGTTGTGAGGCCGGATTCTTCGTTCGCATTGCCATGGTGCTGTTTCTGGTGCTGTTTGCGGGGCTAATGTCCGGGCTGACTTTGGGCCTCATGTCTCTAAGTCTCGTCGATCTGGAAGTTCTCGCAAAGTCCGGAACTCCCAAGGACAAGCAACATGCTGGTGTGGTCTTGATTTCATGATTTACCTCCGTTGCTTGCTTTGTTTTTGTTTTCATTTGATGACTTTCGATGTTCGATTGAGTTTGAAGGTGTTGCCCTTCTCTTGAAATTTCTGATTAATTTCACTCCTAGCGAGTTTCTTGACCTTGTATGGTACGACGAAATCTTTCAGTTGAGCTGTCAACGAGAATTTTATATTCTTCCTTTTTTTTCAAGATCTCTCTCTCTCTTGTTTTAAAGCGAATCCGAATTTGTTACATCGGTTTGAGAATGGTTGGTTATTTAGTTTGGAATCTGATTAATTACATTCTGGAGAGTTTTTGCTGTTTGTTACAACAAATTATTTTCGTTGGTTTGTCCTTACTAATTTAATTCTGTTTTTTTAGTTCTTCATGACTACCTGACTTCGAAAGAAAATCAGTTGTGCGGGCTTGAGAATTTTATTGATTTTTTTTTTTCTATTGTTTTTCTGATAAAAAATTGCCAAACGAGCAGGTATATATACTCTTTTCGTTAAATTATTGTTCGGGTATTTGTTTTTAGTTTTGGAAAGAACTAATTATTCAATCAGATTTGATCTGAGCTCATTCGTACACAGAAATGTTGTCTTGGTCTATGGTTTTGACCATCTCATGAAACACCTGTGGTTATACTTTTGTATGGAATCAGGCTGTGTGATCAATTTCCATGTATATTGCAGCGAAGATATTGCCAGTTGCGAGGAACCAGCATTTATTGCTTTGTACACTGCTGATCTGCAATGCTGCTGCCATGGAGGTTTGTATAACTTGAGGTGTGATACAATAAGATTCTATAAATTCTATTACAAATTGCTTGATTTAATACGTATTTGGATTCTCAGGCACTTCCTATATTTCTGGATTCTCTAGTCTCAGCTGGAGGTGCAATCTTGATATCTGTGACATTGATACTTCTGTTTGGTGAGGTAATTACTTTCTTTCCAGTTATGAAGCCTGCATTGTAGCACAATTACAATTCGTCAATCTGGAATGTATAAACAGCAAGTTCTTAGTCTTCCAGGCAAATTGTTAATATGATATGTACAATATAGTGCTTATGTAGGTAATATGTGTTGATAAATTATAATTGTAGCAACTATTTAGATATTTGAAGCTGGATATAGAACCTGTAAGGTGAAATAACTATAGACCATATGTAAAAACATGTTTGTTTCTTAACATGTAGCGATACAAAGGCCAAAAAGAGTATAACGGCCTATAATAGGCCTCGAGACACACAACGAGATTAATATCCCTGTTGTATGGAGCTAAATACTAGAATGGTAATGATGATTAACTTGTGTTTCACAACTAGTGAGTGTTGAAAATTACTGTTACTGTATTACAATTGTGATGGAGGATAACACAAGAGATAGCTTGGTGTCTACAATCTCTTGAATTGTATTCATTGTACCTATTGATTTGGAAGACAATGGCATGGGTGGTCCGTGGTCTTAATGATAAATGGCCATCCCAACTAAAAGTTTAAGCTGATTGAGGGGTGATAATTTTTATTTTGTTAATGTTTCGCGTATGCGCCCTCATGGGTAGCAGAATTACTTCTTTACTAAGTCTTAGCACCACACATTTCATTACTTAGAACATGATTCGATGATCTGATTTCATTTTAAATTGTATGATCAGTTCGTTTAATTGTTTAAGCTGATAGGGATGTATATATATATATATATATATGTTGATTATTTTAATAATATTTCGATCAGGTGGAAAGGTAACCCTTGAGGTGTGAAGTGTATGCTCCCCACCAAATACTTGTAACTTATATATATTAAAGGAAAAAAGTATATAATATTAGACTTGAAGAGTTTGTTAAAATATTGTGAACTATAAAATATCAGCCTACTGGGATTTATACAAGCTGAATTTACAGTTATGTCTTTTCAGATCATCCCACAATCTGTTTGTTCCAGATATGGACTTGCTATAGGTGCTGCTCTGGCCCCTGTTGTTCGTGTCCTCGTCTGGATCTGTTTTCCGGTTGCATATCCAATAAGCAAGGTGCATACTTGTTAGCGTTTATCCTAAATTTCTACTTAGCTCAAATAAGATTTACCACATTTTAATGCCTTTGGTACATATGTTCACATATTTTCCAGGTGTTGGATTATGTGCTTGGCCATGGAGATAGATCTCTATTTCGACGTGCTGAGTTGAAAACTCTTGTTGATTTACATGGCAATGAGGTATAATGTATTAAGAAACAAGTACCACTGGTTTATGCTTTATGTTTTCTTTTCTTTCTTCTTTAATGCAACTTTGTTATCTGAGAAAGCACAAATGTTCTGTATGTAATTCTACTGGCTGTGGTAATGCAGGCTGGTAAAGGTGGGGAGCTCACACATGATGAGACAACTATTATTGCTGGGGCACTAGAACTCAGTTCAAAAACTGCTAGTGATGCCATGACTCCAATCTCTGAAACGTTTTCTATTGATATAAATGCAAAACTTGATAGGTTACGTCGTGTTGGCTTCTTTTCACTTCTCTTGCGTTTGTAATACACATTGGATTATTGATTTTATGCTATTTAGGTTCTTGATGAATCTGCTTTTGGAGAAGGGGCACAGCAGGGTGCCAGTCTACTATGAGCAACCTACAAATATCATTGGCCTTGTTCTGGTATCCTCAGTGCCAATATTCATTTAGTCTTTAATATATTTATATGCATCTTTAGTTTTAGCATACTTTGTTATTCATTCAGTCATGCTTATTCATCTATTTTGTTTTCCCCTTTCCCTGGATTAAGAACTGCATCATCTTACTTCTACAATATCTGTTGTACTCTACTCTTTGTTTAACATCAATTAATTGAGCACTGCTGCAAACTGCATCTGAATAACAGATGCTCCCAAAGTAGAAAAGAATTATGTTTATTTACAACAAATGTATTGTCTGAATAATGCTAAGATGAATTTGGTTGCAGTCAATGTGAGTAGAACTTTGAATAGTTTCTCAACTGAAATACTTGAAGATAATTGGAAATGGGTTCCAATAGTTTAGGGGAAAATTCTAAACTTATTTGTTTAGGGGCCTCCGTTCTTCAACCAGTCCAGGTTAGTAGGTTGTAAAAGAGTTGATATGTACAAACTGCATTCAAAGAAGTGGCTGAACATAGTATTGACTTTTATGTAATCTGTTACTAGCAATCTGCACATTCACTATGCTTGCACCAATCAGTTTGGATCAAGTGATTCTGTACATGGTAAATAATCTCAATATTGTAGGCCACTTTTTAATATTTTATGTAGGACTAATTAGTTAAACAATTTTCTTAGCCTTACTAATAATTGATTGTGCCATTGTCCCCCTTATGTAAATTGAATGTGGCTTGTTCAAACAGTCAGACAACATTCATTCAAGCTTCATTGAATCTCAAATTTGGTTTTCCGCAGGCAAAGAATTTGTTAACAATTCATCCTGAGGACGAGGCTCCAGTTAAGAGTGTACCTATCCGCAAAATTCCTAGGTATCATTGTGCCAGACTGCTAGGCAACTCCCAAAACATTACTCCCAATATAATTTCAAAGTAAATAGATTAATGATAAGGGAAAGCCAAACACTTCTTCTCTGTTCATTATATTGTTTTGCATAAATTTCATGTCACAGAGTTTGAGCACTTTGATTTTGGACCTCCTGTTTGATGTGAGCTGTGATGGCTATGCATAATCTTCAGTTTAGATCTCATAGTTGATTGTCCACACTCATATGCATTCAGGCTTATTCAAATCTTTGTGTTGATTACTGTAGTACCATATGGAAATCATGGCCAACAATGGAATGTTTGCTCATAAGATTAATCTTCTTTGATTCATTATTACATCTCAGGGTTCTGGAAACTATGCCATTATACGACATCTTGAATGAATTCCAGAAGGGTCACAGTCACATGGCTGTTGTTGTGAGACAATCCAGCAACACAACTGCACCTGCACCTGCACCTGCTGCCGAGAGTAAATTCTTCTTACTTCCTCTGCAAGAGGCAGCACATAAATGCTCGATTTAGTTAATGACCAATCTGTGCAGATACTGTAAAAGATTTAAAAGTAAATGTCGATGGCAAAAAACGCTGGTCTGGTAAAAATGGGAAGAAAAAAAGACCACCCCTGCAGAAATTGAAGAGTTTCGCGGACAGTAGAAGCAGTTCATTCCAGAACAAAAAGTGGACCAAAAATATGTATGCTGACATTCTTCAGATTGATGAAAGTCCACTGCCAAAGCTCCCCGCAGAAGAAGAGGCTGTCGGGGTAATCACCATGGAAGATGTCATTGAAGAGCTTTTGCAGGTGAATTCTATTTTCCATATTACATATATACATATATATACATTGGGTTGGGGGGGTGGATGAGGTTTTGATGAAAGGGGTACCTTACTTATATTTTGGTTGCAGGAAGAGATATTTGATGAAACCGATCACCAAGTTGAAGATTCATGACATATACATACACATATATATATATATGTATATACATACATGTAGAGAGAGAGAGATGATTGTGAGGGACATTGAGGCCATTTCTCACATTGTTATTAAATATTGTGGTTGATAATGTCTTAATGTGTGAGTTTACTAGAACTTCCATGCACGGGCACATATATATATATTTGGTAACGTTGGACTAGTTTAGTGTTTGGATCACACCACAATAAGTCCGCAGTGCAATGTTTTTGTGTATGTGAAAATTGTTAGATATTAAACTTATAATTAGAGGTTGATCTTGCAGTATTGATTATCACTCAATGTCTTAATTAATACTTGCATGAGTTATGAGGGGGATAGTTGTGACATAATGCCATTTGAATTTGATTGTTGGAAAATGGTGGGTGGATTTTATGGGATTGATTTGTATCCTACACACATATACTAACCATTCTAGATCTAAAAAATATATACATTACCTATATATTTTATTCGTCATTTATTTTCTTTTACTCTTGGTCTTCTAGCAAAGTGGTAGCAACATAATTCACTTCTATTTGATTTTCTTTTACTCTTAAGTCTTCTAGCAAAGTGGTAGCAACATAATTCACTTCTATTTGATTGTAACTCCATTAACAGGATGCTATATTTCCAATTTTCCAAACCCTTTTTGTTAATATAAAATACGGAATAGATCGAAAAGTTTATTAACGAAAAATGAGTAAAAATAAAAATATTATACTAGTTTTGGTTAGGCTCAGCCCCTATCAACTCAAAACAGTAAATCGACACACAATATGCACCTAACTAGCGACTACATATTTTAAACCGGCCCGAAACACACAACTCACGCAAAAATCAACCCCCTCAAGAACATACAAGGCGAAACAAACAAAAATACAAACGCCTAAAGGTTGAATGAGCCCTTTGCGGTTACGAACAACAACCAGGGGTGAAACACCACGCCAAAGAACCTCCACAGGTTACAGGAGGGAGGCGCCACCGAGAAACGCCGTGAAATTGCCGGAAAAAGTCACCGGAAGGCAAACAAAGAGGTCGAGAGGGAGAGAGGGGAGAGCTAGAGAGAGAAAGTTTGTATAGAGAGAGAAACGTGAGTGAATTATGAGAGACAACCCTCTCTCTGTATATATATATATATTCAAGCCAATAAGCAATGGACGGACTAGATATAGATCCACAATTGGACGGCCAAGATCAAGGCTAGACAAAAGACGCGGATCTAAGGCGGATCGGGTCGTGGGTTGCGGGTCCAGGTGGTTCTAGGTGGCAGGTGTGGGTCGTGGGTCGAGGCCAGGTATAAAGTGGGCTGCATAGTAGGTGTGTGTATCTTATATTGGGGTGGATCTAATTGGATAAAAAAATCCAACACTTTTAAAGAAAGTTATGGTAATTGGAGATGAAAGCATTATTGGATTTTCAGGATGTTTGTAATATTTTTTATATAGATTATGAAGTACCCGATAATGAAGCTGAATTGAAAATAAAGAAAATAGATCAATGGAAAAAGTTTATCTGAATTGAAAACAAAGAAAATAGATCAATGGAAAAAATGGTCTGGACGATTCTTCATGATGCTTCTTGTAAAGGAAATATATAGTTGTCAAGGTTCATTTACAAACCTTAAAAGTGAGTTCGAGTAACTTCATATAAAGGTTTTAGAATTTTTGGAAGAATATGTGAGAAGAGTGTTCATATCTAAATAAAGATAATACGGTAAATCAAATGGAGGCCAAAGAAAAATATGATTCTATGATGTTATAGATGTCCATGTTGATAACAAATTTGCAATCTTTTTAGGCAACAAACACATGGATACAAAATTGAAAAAAAAAAAAATAAAAATACTACTACAATACATAATTATAAGTTTGAGGAGATGCCGTTAGGATATTAAACTTGTAAATATATTGGTATTATGAGGTTGATCTTATAGTATTGATTGTCACTCAATGTCATGTATCAACACAAGTTATTCTAGCATGCTTTGTCGTCATTCATGCACATCTTGGGAGACTTCCCAGGTAGTCATCCATTTCAACATTTTTCTACAAATATGACACTTATCTCTAGAATTCTTTTAAATGGATTCTCGAAAAAGAATGTCAATATTATTGATATTAGTAGTCTAATCAATCTACTGAAACTCACTAATCTCTATTCAACTTCGGGGGTATCGCATCCTTACTCACTTAGGAATGCAACATTCATATTGCACCCCAAGAATTCATTAATTATTAGGCCTCTCAAAAATCCGATCAATAACTATGGATTATCATACGTCGGCTCTCATACCATTTGTAGAACTCCAGCCCGTAAGTCACGCAAGTTGAGCATGTCGGGATCATACATTGGTCCTACAAGTCAATTCAAGTCATTTCAGCGCTCTTTATTCTTATTAAGACTTCCTGTAGGTCACCCATCCCATAATTATCCTAGAGAAAAAATACGCATGAACGTAACATGTTCTCTAATGTTTGTATAGCACATTCAGTCTGCCCATATGTCATCAGATGGAATTTGATGCTAAAGTTCAACTTCGTTCCAAATTTATACTGCAATTATTTCCAAAAATGGGACATAAATTTCGAATCTCTATCGAAAGCAATTCTAGTTGGCACCCCGAAGAGCTTCACCATATCTCGCACATACACTTCAACCAACTTAGTCATCAACCAATCTTTCTTCACTAGTAGAAACACCGCTTACTTAGAAAGGCGGTCAACTATAACCCAAATCACATAAAACTTATTCTTACTCACTGGTAGATCGGTAAAAAGTCCATATTAATGGATTCTCATTTCAAACTCAGTACCTCAAGTGGCTGTAAAATTTTCATAAGACGATGGTGCTCAATTTTTACCTTAGGGCATAACAAGGAATCGAGATACACAATCTTCCACATTCTTTTTCATAGTTGGTCACAAAAAATTTGCACATAAGTCCTTATACATCTTGTTTCCATCCAGGTGCACTGAGTAAGGTAACATATGGACCTCATTTAACAAACACTCTTTCAACTCCCGGGCACAAGCTGATATACACCGTCTGTTTTGAAGGTGAAGCATATCATCTCTAGCAATCTTAAATCTACTATCACATTTAAGTTTGCTCTTTCGGATTTTACCCAATAAATTTGAGGCATTTTGGATCATCTTTATGTTTCTTTTAATCTCATCATAAATAGTCAAGGTGACCATCAATGCACTCAATTGAACCTATGTAGAACCCGTAGGAAGAATCTCCAATCTCAGCCGACCCATCTGCTCCCACAATCGATCATAAAAAATAAGTACACCAACATGTCCCTTTCGGATCAATGCATCTACAACTACATTTCTTTTTCCTTCATGTTACAAGATCTTAACACCATAATCCTTCATAAGCTCAAGCCAATGCTATTGTCTCATGTTCAACTCTCACTGAGCGAACTCATATTTTAAGTTCTAATGATTTGTGTAAATCTCACACTTACTAGCCAAATTTTCAAGACATGGACCACGAGAGCAATCTCCAAATGTTAGGTTGAATATTACATCCTAAACACCTTAAAACTGATTTCATCACCAAAATCTAGTCACTCCACCAATAATCCAAAATACCGTCCCAATTACATACATCCTTTAACATTCGACAACACATCCCCAAACATAGGATCCAAAAGATGAGATTCTTGTTCTCAACCACGGAAATCCATACCTCCATAAAAGTACAATGAGCCCATCAACTGATACCAAATTGACAGACAAGTGACCCAACACACCAAGCTAAAAGCTCAATCACATTGTATCAAAATAATATATGTAAGAACATAATCTTATAGGCAATCAAATAATCATATAAGAGGTAAGGCATGAAAATAAAAACTCAGCATATAACATACCAAAGAGTTTGGAGTAGTGCTCACACATATGATCCTCATTTTCTCAGGTGGTTTCCTTGACTCCACGTTGATGCGACAACACCTTCACTAGGTAATATCTTTGTTATTCGATGCCTCAACCTATGTATCTAAAACCCGAATGGGTTTCTTAATATAACCTAAATCATCCTCCAACTTTACCTCATATCGATGAAGTGTCTTGACCTCATCGGCCACACAATGCCGAAATTGAAACACATGAAAGACATTGTGCACCTTATCCAAACAACTAGATTTATCAAGCCAATATGTCAACTTCCCAATATCCTCAATCATACAATATAACTCAATAAAATGAGGCCGACGTTTCTCATGGATACCAAACCTCTTGAGAACCTTCTTCGGGGATACTCGAAGTAATACACGATCCCCAATCTTAAATTGTCCTGATTGCAACCCTGATCAACATAATATTTTTGTCAATTCTGGGTGCCCTTATATGACCCTGAATCACCCAGATATATCTACATAGTCTTTTTAACCAACTAGGACCCCAAGAATACTCTAACACCTGGGTCCTCCCAACATAATGGGATATGATATCACTACCCATAGAATACCTCAAATGGTTCAAAAACGATACTCGCATGATAGCTCTTGTTGTAGGGGAGCTCTATCAAAACAAATTGATGTAGCATCTCAAATAACAAATTTGAAGTGTCACCCAATTACAACAATATAAAATAGCCAAGAAACAACTATAACTAGTCAAAATGCACAACTCACTCAATTGTCAACTGACTTGCCTATCAACGACTATGATTAGTCGAATCCACGCTCACACAACTTATCCAATCAAAGGCTAAGTCGAGCCAAATTCACCGCTCACACAATTCATCAATCAATTTTTCAATTATGACTAACTCTAACCAAATATACGACTTACAAAATTCATTAATCAACCTATCAATCATCGGGTAAGTCTAGTTAAATCACCAGCTTACATAATTGATCAACTAACTTGCATGCCAATCAACGGGTTACACAATTACACAATTCATCAACCAATTTATCAATCAATGACTAAGTCTAGCCAAATTAACAACTCACACAATTTATCAATTAAATTGTCAATCAACATCTAAGTCTACCCAAATTCGTGGCTCACATAATTCATCAATCGACTCTCGAATAAAAAACAAAGCCTAGCCAAATCTATGATTTACACAATTTATCAATCGACTTCTCAATCAACGGCTAAATCTAGAAAAATTCATGGCTCACACAATTCATAAATTGACTTGTCAATCAACAAATAAGTT